GTTGCCCCCTGTAGTCAGCTTGAGAAGATCTAATACGTATGTGCGATTCCCCACAGGCTGCTCCCCTCACAATGCTGACGAGAACAGCAACAATTAATCATGAAGAAAATGTTCCCTAGTGGATGCACATTTGGGCCTTAAAATGAGCAGTTTCCATACTCCGTGAGGCGGCTGTGCCATCCAAACACGGTGGAGGTCTTTACAGGACTCCTTGGCTCTAAGTGGCTGTGTCGCCGTAGATGGTTCTCTACCCTTCGGTCTTCTTCCATCCTCCTTGATTTTGAATAAATGCATATTCCATAAACTAGCCTTTATCTATTTGGTTCGTCCAAAGTGAATGTATGATTTTAGGGTTGATGTTCATTGGATCACATGCTGATTTCTTGAAAGGGTAATGTAACACAATGCTAAAAACTCAGTGGTATATCCAACTGAATTATTGAAAACCTAAGACCTGGACAACCCTATCAGGTCCCCTCCCTCCTGAGGAACTTTGTACTATCACTCGGCTATCACTCAATAAACCTTGCACTGCTGCAAACCAAAAAAAGAAAAGTACCTCGTTAGGTCAAAAGTCTAGCATCGGCGTATGCTCAACATGAAACCCAACCAATGAACCCAGAATCTTCAAAGAACTAAAGGCTGACCCTGAACCGTACTTTTCTGGTTTCGCCAAATGATACAACTCATACTACTTGGTTGTGCATACCTCCTTAAAAGTGATTCTACAAAACATATGGTAACTTACAGAGAGAAATTCTTACAGCAGTGAAGTATGTCCCATAACAAGACTCCACCAAATTGACAATCTATCATTTGAAAGGCAGTAAGTGATTTCTGCCTGGTAAAGGCAGCCCCCATGTCTGAGTGTTCCATGACGTTCCCCCGCTCCCGAATACACCTACCGTCCCAGCCAGGATATCATGAGGGCAGCAGTCCAGAAGGTGACTCTTGCAGACACGGTCATCTGTAAACTTGACCCTCTGTCTGGTTTCGTCTCCTGAAATTCATTTGTGGTTTTAAATAAGACAGTATTACCACGTTAAACACCAAAGCACATCTGGTACAACAATTCACCTGGATGGCTGGCAGACTACCAAATACAATGGAAGGCTGATCTAGAGGTATTTACAACTGGAGCGGGATACGGATGTTTTTTGATGCTAAATGTATCATGAAGAATCACACACTTAATGAGATCTGACTCCATCATTGTGCCAAAGAAGTCAAGGAATCTGAAGTAAGAGGCTGAGCACCAAAAGGCCGTTAACCGCACACATACATGTGGGCAATGATGCCAAAACCCACGCTAATCAGAGGGCCGTGAATCACCACATCTGACTTATGGCTGGTAGTGTCCACCAACAGAAGCTACGTATTACTCTGATCGTTTTGCTATGGACAAATGCATAGGCAGTGTTTTGCCCAAAATCACATGAAGAAGAAAGCTTTCGAACTCTACCACTGGCTGATAAATGATCGAGACTTAATCTTCTGTCCCCTTCGCCCCCACCCTTAAAAAAGACAGTTGGCACCTGGGAGTCACTTTTAACAAGACAATAGCAAAGGAGAAAAAAAAGGGGGAACTAGGTTAGTCAATACACACTGTGAGTTCCAACACATACTGTACCCAACTGCATTCTTCAAGACCTCAGCTGCAGAATTTATGCCCGCTGCTGAAAAGTTTTAAAGGGAAAGCTTTCTTGCCCCACCTGCAGTAAGGAAGTCAGGGGAACGATACATAAAAGTAAAGGCAAAGTGGAACGTGACAAACTTTAAAGCTCCTCTGTGTCTACACAGAGCGGTGTCATACGAGAAGAGGATTCGCAAGCATCCAGGACTCATGTCGTGTCTCTTTACTGAAAATGTTTTCTTTCTAAACTACACTTTTAAAGTTATTCGTGAAAAAAAGCAAACACTTTTTTGTTATAACAGCTTAGAAATTGGTTGTGACTCACGGCTCGATGAACATGAGGCTTTTCTGCAACTCCCTTGCAGATTGGTGTAGGCAGGCAAAGATACACTGAACCTTTATGAATAAAATAGAGGGGCCACAATTGTTCAGTTTGTATGAAATACAAGTATGGGAAGCAATTCAAAAGCAACTCAATATACAAAGAACGCTAAAAAGCACTTATTCCCCTACGGAGTAGAGTGCAAGAGTCCGCACAGCCCTGCGAGTGTGCCAGCGGGAACTACAGCTCCGTCCTCGGGCGGAAGAGAAAACACAGACCAGGCGGGCGCACCGGGCCGCGAAGGCGCGACCGCTCGCTCCCGAGACAACCACCGCGACCGCTCGGCCTCCCTACGCCGTCCCTGTCCGACCTGCACCTAACGACTGCAAGCGCTAGCTCCACAGACGGCTCCCGCGCGGCTGCGAGGCCGGCCCCCTCGGCGCCGCACAAGCCCCACGGACAGCGGCGCCGGGCACGGCAGCCACGGCCGGGGCCGCGGGCCCGCCCGGCCCCCTCGGCTGGCACGGAGCGTCCTCCCCGCGGAGCCCCGCCGCCGCCGGCGAAATGCAGCCCACGCCGGCGCCCGCTCTTCGCCGACTTCGCGGCCGGCCGGGAGGCGCGGGGCCGCGGGCGGGGGGCGGGGCGAGGCGCGGCGCGGGCCAGGGAGAAAGCCGCAGGATGGCCCGTGGGGCCGGGGCTGGAGCCCCACCGGCGACTCGGGCGCCGAGACAGGAGCCGCCCGGGGCCCCGCCGCCCGCGAGGGAAAAGCCGGCCGCCGCCGCCTCCCGGGCGAGCCGGCTCAGACAAAGGCCCGGCGCCTGCGGTCGGCGCGCGGGGGAAGGTGGGGGGGGGGGGAGGGTGTCCGGCGCAGGCGCAGACGGTCGCGGCCCCCGCCTCAGGCCGCCCGGCGGCCTCGCCTCACTCCCGCCCCAACCCCTCGCCGGTCCGGCCGCTCCGACTCACCGTCCCGGGCGGTGCCCATGAGCTGGTCCAGCAAGGCCCGCATCTGCGCCTGGGCGGACATGGTGGCCGGCGAGGGCGGCAGGGACTGCGGCGACGACTCCTCTCAGAGCGGTGGGGGCAGCAGCGGCAGCGGCAGCGGCGACGAAAGCTGGTCGCGTCGGCCTCGAGCCCACTCAGCTCCTTCCCGCCGCGGGGGACGCCGGGAGGAAGTGCGTCGGTGGGGGCGCCGAGCCTGCTGGGAAATGTAGTTTCTGGGTGGGGTGGCCGGAACAGGAACTGAAACTCCGCCCTGGAGAAGGCCGGCGGAGAGGGTCCAACCAACCGTGATTTTGCTCTAGGTTCCGAGACCTTTCTATTCTACTGAGACCAAACTGCAATAAAATAAAATAAAATAAATAAATAGGGGCACCCGGGTGGCTCAGTGGATTAAGCGTCTGCCTTCAGCTCAGGTCATGATCCCAGGGCGCTGGGATCGAGTCCCGCATGGGGCTCCTTGCTTAGCGGGAAGCCTGCTTCTCCCTCTCCTACTCTCCCTGCTTGTGTTCCCTGTCTGTCAAGTAAATAAAATCTTAAAAAAAATAATAAATAAATACAAACAAAAAAAAGGCCCCTATGGGTTTGTTTTGGTGAAACTTGGCCTGGTTTTAAAATGTCACTGGAGAGTAAATGGCCACAGCTTTTCAACATAACGGAAAGGTGGAGACACCTGTCCCAGCAGACATCCCCGAGTTACGCTAAGGACGTCGTGATTTAGAGCGTGCGGTACCACCACAGAAACGGGGAGAGCAGGGAGGCACCGACAGGTTGAAGATGCAGACAGAAGCAGTGGGGAAACTCCGCTTTTGTAAAAAGCCCCGGCTTACTCGGACCCTTCACCTCCGACGGCATCAGATCTGCAGCAGTCTGCTTGTGCAGTCGGCTGCTCTGGTCCGGAAGGGTCGCTTCGCTTCTCTCGGGAGAGAGAGGGCCACGGATTCCGCCCTTGCGGTAGGCGCCTAGGCCCCGGGCAGCACGCGTTCCCGTCGCAGGCACGCACAGTTCCAGGAGGGAGGACCGGAGCTTGGGGACACCAGCCAAGAGGTGCTGGGGCCGTAGGGCCCCGGGAGAAACTCGCTTACTGAAGGACTGGAGCGGGGAGGCTCTTTAAAGAGGGGAGAGGGACAGCTGCCTCTCTCCCCCGTAAGCAGAGAACAGTCCCTTTTGTCCACCCCTCACGTGTGTTCTGCTGGACCACGCGGGTCAGGCCTCCTTGTGTCTCCCTGGGGGCGAAGACTGTGGGGACTCGTGCCGCGCATCACTAGGACGGTGGGATGGTCAGCAAGCCGCCTGGTCTGGTCCAGACACCCCGACAGCCCGCGCGTGCGCACCACGAATACAGACGCTCCCGCACACCCCGTTCTTCTCAACGTGGCAGGGGCCCTTGCAGGGAAGACTGCGCCGACCCGCGGCGTGAGCACTGCCGGGAACTACCATGAAGAACGGCCCGCGGCCTCCGTACGCCGCCCTCGGCCGAGGCCACGCCGACCCAGAAACTGGGCGTTCGGACGGGAACCGCAACGGCCCCGGGCACACGTGCGGCGTATGAGGGCGAGAAGGGGCCCTCGGACCGCGCGCAGGACCAGCCGACGGTCTCACTGCGGTGAGGGCGGGAAGGGGCCCCAGAGATGCGGTGGCTGCCACACACGCCGCCGGCGCAGGCGGGACCGGGCGCGCAGCGCAACGACGGACCCACGGCCGGAGGCGGCGCGGCAGGGGGAGCCGCCGCGGCCAGCCCGGGAAGGCCGCACGTGGCCGCGGGGACCGCGCCCAGCGGAACCCATTCTCCCCCTCCTCAAGCGGGGCTCGCCGCCGGGATGCCACCCCGCCCGCGCGCTTTTCCGCCCCCGCCCCCGCCGGCCGGAAGTGACGCTCGGGGGTGGGGCCGAGGGCGCGGCGGCAGGTGCGTGAGCGCGGCCTCGTCCTCCTCGCGCGCGCTCGCGGCGGGGCTCGCGCGGGGCCCCACCTCTCCGCTCGCGACCGCTCCTCTGCGCGTGGGCGGTCGGGCCGCGGGGACACGGCCGCGCCGCGAAACCGCGCCCCGCGGTCGCCCGCCGCGCCGGCCCTCCAGCCCCCGCGGGTCGGCTCCGGCCCCAGTGCGCACCGACGGACGTGCCCGGTGGGAGCTTCCCGCCCGCGCTTGCCGCGCAGCAGGTAAGCCGGCCCCGCCGTCCGCGCCCGGAGCGGCTGCCCTGGTCCCCCGAGCGCGCTGCGGCGCGGGGTGGTGCCCACACGGGTGTGCGTGGGAAGGCGTTCCGGGCTCGAGTCCTGCCCCCGCGCTGCCTTCGGGGCGCTGAGCCGGCGGAGCACGCAGAGGCCGGCCGACGCCTGCCCGCCCGCGGCATGGACCGCCGACGGGGGCGCGACGGAGCTGGGACGGGCGCGGAGAGGCGGCTGCCCGGGAGCCCCGGGCCCCTGGGAACTGACCGGCAATGACCCGACGGAGAGTCTGACCTTTAGCGGACCGAGGAGCTACCGAGTAGGCGACTCCTTGTTTGCAGCTAGTTAACCGCAGCTCCTAACCCAGTTCCGTAGACGCCCAGGGATGTCCGCCCGGGAGCTCGGTGGCCAGTCCTCCCTCCCCGGGTACCGGCCGGCGAGGTCTCCGCCGCCGCCAGCCCCGTGCTGCAGGCTCTCCCTCCTTCGCCGCGGTTCTCCGGAGCAGCTGGACCAGCTCGGCCGACTCAGCGAGCCCCGACACCGCTGGGGGCCAGGCCCGTCTCTAGGAGCTGGAAGCAGCGCCCCGCGGGTCAGGATCCCTGTCTTCGGGGAGCCCCATTCCAGTGGGAGGTGCAGAGAATAAGCGAAACCCCGAGGCTGCGGGGCGCCTGGGCGGCCCGGTCTGTGACACGGCTGCCTTCGGCTCAGGTCATGGTCTCAGGGTGCTGGGATCCAGCCGCGCGTTGGGCCCGTGTTCAGTCGGGAGCCTGCTTCTCCCTCTCCACCTCCCCCTGCTTGCGCTCCCTCTCTGACAAATACACAAAATCTGTAAATGTGTGTATGTAGACAGAGTATGCTGAAGACTGAGCACAGGGCAGGGAACGGTGAGACGGAAGTGGTTGAGTTATCACGTGGACATTTATTCGTGCATTTTACCAGTTTTCTGGACCTGGTTTCAGGATTGGAGTGCTTTTGGCTTCAAGTGTTGAGAAGCCATTAAAAAGTAACTCAGCCTCTGGGGGGTTCTGCTGGCTTTCATACGGGAAAGTTCATGGGACCAAAAATATGAGGGACCGGTGCCTTAAATGAAGTCCTCAGGACTTGGTAGGGAGGAGGGCTTGTTGGGCCCCCATCCTTCACATACCTCCTCTTGCCCTGCTTCTGGGTTGGCCCTTTACCTTGGGTTCCTACCTCCGTCCGGCTACCTATTTAGTTATCTGCTGCTACGTAAAACTCAACACCAAAATTCATGTTAGAGCACCTGGGTGGCTCAGTGCAGTTTAACGTTTGCCTTTGGCACAGGTCATGATCCCCGGGGTGGGGGTGGGGGAACCAATGGATTGAAACATCCTGCATTTATTACTTATTTGTTTCTTAGAGGTGGGAAGGGGCAAAGGAAGAGTGAGAGAGAGTCCCAAGCAGGCTGTCCACCCAGCATGGAGCCCAACGCAGGGCTTGATCTCACACCCCGGAGGTCATGACCTGAGCCACAATCAAGCATCAGGCACTTAACTAACTGAGCCATCAGGTGCCCCAAACATCCAACATTTATCATCTCCATTGCTGCCTGTCTGGAGTTCAGGGATAGCTTGGTGAGGTGACTGTGGTTCAGAAACTGACCCGGTTCCAATCAAAAGTTTGGCTGGGGCTGTGGTCATCTGAGGTCTGGACCGGGACTGTTTGGTCTGGTTCCAGATGGCACACTCAGGGGACCAGAGACTGGAGGCCTCAGTTCCTGCAGACCGATGGCAGGAGGCCTCATTTCCTTGCCTGGTAGGCCTCTCCGTGCGGCCTTCACGTGGTGGTGGTCTTCCTCCGAGTGAGGGATCAGAGATGAGGGGGAGGAGACTGGAAGCCACAGTGCTTTTTGTGACCTGGCTTAGGATTCTGATTCTGTGACTTCTACAGAATTCTGTTTGTCAGCATTATTGGCAAATCAGAGATGTTTTAAACCACTCCTGCGGGAGAAGGGTAGCCTAGTCCCTGCCATTCCAGGTGAATTCTGGGCCTAATACACATCTGGGGGGCACCTGGGTGGCTCAGTGGGTTAGGCTGCTGCCTTCGGCTCGGGTCATGATCCCAGGGTCTTGGGATCGAGTCCCACATGGGGGCTCTTTGCTCAGCGGGGAGCCTGCTTCCCTCTCTCTCTCTCTCTGTCTGCCTCTCTACTTGTGATCTCTCACTCTGTCAAATAAATAAATAAAATCTTTAAAAAAAAAAAAATAAGTAAAAAAAAAAAAATACACATCTGGGGTCTAATCAGTTAGCTAGACCAGGGTAGGGAGCCTTCCCCTAAGTGGGGATGAGTCAGTCCCACCAGAACTACATTGGGCACGCAGGAAAGTGCACTACCCCGAGGGAAGTTAAGGTGCTGTTCCTGGAGAGAATGGATGTCAGGAAGTCACAGTGACCCCTACAAGTGATTTATACCATTATTTAATATCAGGTTTTAAAAGTCAGCTGCCTTTGCAAGCTGTAGATTTCAAAGCAACGGTTAATAAATCCATTAACAATTACTCTTCTAAGAAAACATGAGCAGAGCAAGATGTGGACATTTACTCAGACCTGTGAATGTGTTTATTTTACAGAAAAACAAAGGCAATAAAAACAAGTGTAGAGGGCGCCTGGGTGGCTCAGTGGGTTAAGCCGCTGCCTTCGGCTCGGGTCATGATCTCAGGGTCCTGGGATCGAGTCCCGTATCGGGCTCTCTGCTCAGCAGGGAGCCTGCTTCTCTCTCTCTCTGCCTGCCTCTCTGTCTACTTGTGATCTCTCTCTGTCAAATAAATAAATAAAATCTTTAAAAAAAAAAAGATTATTTATAAAAAAAAAAAAAAAAAAAAAAAACAAGTGTAGACCCTCGGGCCCTTCACAGTCTATGGGTCGGTCTCAGCAGTGGCTCAGTGAGGACTGAGTGGCGTGATGGCGAGGTCAGGTAGAGCGGGTTCTGAAAGCACTTGGGGTTACTGGAGGAGGAAGGACCGACCAACAGTGTGCACAGATCAGCAGTGTGACTGGGGAACAGATTCGGGACGTAGGATTTGGACTGGAGGTGTCTTGAGCTTTTGTTCTAAAGTCCTGAGGAATCATTCAGGGGTGTAAGCAGGGGAAGGACATTTTCAGGAGATGCTTGAGAAAGCGGTCTCTTGCAGCATCCAGGAAAGACAGTTGGAAAGGGCTGCACAAGCCCAGGTGAGAAGTTGTAGGATCGTCACCTAAAGCAGGGGGGCTGACCTGCAGAGGGACACACGTTCGAACCCGCAGCATTTGTTGGATGTTTCAGAACATACTCTAATCTCGCTCAAAACTGGTCTTTATACACTTAATGAATTTTGGCCCCACCCTATAAAATTTTTAATGGAGCTTAGCTTGTTCGGATATGATGTCCAAAAAAAGGAGGAGGAGGAAGAGAAGAGGAGTGCTGCTTCCCGAAGGACACCAGCAGAGCCACGGGCCTCTCCAGCGGACAGTTTTGTAAGCTCAGAGGTGGGGTGTGGGGCACAGCGCGCGGTCAGCCCTGGGTCAGGTGATCGTCGAGCCTGCCGATGGGCACATGGGGCTGCGGGCCTCTGCTCCTGCAAATACTTTTTACTTTTCTGTTGTTTGGGTGGGCAGCAAGGAAGGTGAGCTCCCGAGGAGGGAGGAGACCCAAGAGGGTTGCCGTCCTCTTGAGGATACAGGAGGTTGTAAAAAAACAAGTCATGGTGACCAGTGAGTGAAGTGAAGTCCTGCAGGTCTTGCAGATGCCGTCAGACGTGAGGGACTCGGGTCGCACTTCATCTCTTCAAGGGCTCTTGCTGCCCCACCTCCACACCCTTCCCTTAACGGAGGGACAAGAAGCAACGCTTCTCATCGGCACTGGCATAGCGGCCGGAGGAAATAAAATCTGCCTTAGAATTCCCGGAAGAGGCTGCTCTGTGCTGTTTTCCAGACGAACGGCAGGGTGGTTCTGTGTAGTAGTTACCGTCCGATGTGCACAGGTGGTAGCCCTGGGGGTGGCGGACCACCCTCCGTCAGGCTCCCCTTTGCATTTTGGTGAAGGCAGCAGCCTGGGTGCCGAGGTCTGTGCGCGCTGACCGCATGGCCTTCGTCCGGGAGCCGTGACCTTCAGATTTGTTCTCCCGTGACAGACGGCGAAGGGCCTGTTCTTTGTCTTCAGAGGATTTTCTTGGGGAGGAGAGGAAACAGTTTTCATCTGTAAACAACAGAACACTGTAGCCGTGGTTGTCTGGCTTCTGCTCTGCTTGGCCAGAAGTCCAGGGCTGCCTGCTGGCACCTTCCGCGGCCTCTGAAATGCCTCGAGTCGAACTGCCGTGGGAAGACTCGGCCGCTCCCGGCCGCGACACAGGGCTGCTCGTGTGACAGACGGTCTTAAACCGTGGGCACACCTCTCAGCCGGCTGGCGGCCACAGTCCCTAAAGTCTGTGCGGATGTGGCCCCCAAGGAGCGAGGACAGTGGCGCTCAGTCTGAAAGTTCCCTGAAAAGGATGCTGTAAAATCAAATTTTAAAAGTTAGGAGGGGATTTCCTATCAAAGTACCCCGCAGTGATCTTTTCTTAAAAAAAAAAAGGTCGAGTTTTAGTTTAAAAAATTAGACCCCCTGCTTCCATAATGGAGGTAGAATCGCCAGTTACGGGTCCTGCCAGTTTTCTTTCTGCCCTCGCCAGAACTTTTGTACTTTCTTGGTCCTTTAACAATCAGGATGACACTTTTCTAATTTACATCTTCTGTGGTCTCTGACCCAGCAAAGCGCTCTTGGAGAAAGAGCCTCGGAGAGACAGGCGACGCATCTTCCACGGACGCTGTAGCATTCTTGCCCCCTTGAAATGTGGACGACCTGCCTCAGCGTGTTCCATTTGATCCTTCCCCGGGACTGGCGTTTCCTCCCTCCCACGCGGGGGCCGGTGCGGCCTTGAGCGGGCCCACCCACGGCAGCTGGGCGCCAGCTTGCCTGGGAATCACGGCCGCCGGCCCCGGGCTGCTGTCTCTCCAGACAT